CCTAGCTGGGGACCTCGGGATGATGGTCACCGATGGTTAGCTACACTGAGTGATATGGTTGGGTGTCGCAAACAGTGGCGCTCGTGCATCCACTCGTTATTTTTCTAACACCACTCTATATGAATTCTCCATCTCTCGCTTGAATTTGCTTCGACATTNATCGCCCTAACCATAAGAGAAAACAAAACGATTGGTCGATCCGTTAATTGTCCAAAATTGCACTTTGCACGTGTTTCCGCACCTTCTTGATCCGAAGCGAATGGTTTAGAATGTGAGCAGTACCTGGTAATGGCGAAGTGGTTTATGCGTCAACTTCGACTCCACACCTTTAGGCACCGGTTAGAACCCGGTCATCAAGATTGATGATGCGCAGCTCGGCTATCAGTAGTCACCTATCCTACTGTGGTTTTCCGTGATTCTCCACTTTGTCTTCTGCCCCTTGTGGCTGTTTCTCTTCACGACATTTGACCTTATTGATCATGTTTCCGTTGCTCATGCTAGTTGAATACGTTAAATAAAATAGTGGTTTGAATCAACGCTGTTAGAGTTAAATTGCTCATTCAGTTTGTTAGCCAGAATATTGTTGATGATAGGAATTCATTTACCGGATAAAGCACTAAGCGTGTTCCATTACGTCACATAACCGCTGGAACTTTTGTTTTGTTTTTGTAGATTGCTTGCTTCAGTTTTCTCGTACTATTTTCTATGTATGTTGTATTAACGTCTTCATTTGTACGAACCGGTCTACTGTGCGGTACTCTTACACACTTTTGTTTGTTGTTTATTCCAGCTTTCGGGACGATTGTGTATTGTTTCTGGAGATGCGTCCGACCCACGTACAGTTGCTGCTGCATTAAACGCTGCTTCCTTGGCACTGCTTCATTCCGGATTGCCTTTGCGAGCAACTATCGCGACCGTGTGCGTTCCTATTGGCAGCAGTGGTACGTTTTCAGTAGCTATCTGAACAGTCTTATTTGATGTTTGAGTGGTAGCTTATAAACAAGACCAACTGTATACTGTACAGTCCGTTCTAAATCAACAGATGAACAGGTAGGAGACGAATTCGTGGTGATTTCAGANCACGGGTTGCTTGATGACCGTTATTAGCATTGATAAGAACTTATGTGGTCCACCACTTTTAGGTTCGGGTTACGGTAATCACGACTGAACTGTGAACTTTCGTCACAATGGGATTTACTTTTTGCCTCTGATCTCTAATAGAAGTGTGCAATGAAATGAGAACACAATGAGGTAGACGGTGACAGTCTCATGTTATCACTCCCACCAATGCATGCCGCACAGTCAATCCACTGTTGCCACCATCCTAGGACACCACCAAGTCTACTTTGGTATGGTTGTGCTTCCGAAATGAACGTCAACCGTTTCGATTAACAAAATCATTTATGTTAGCCTAGCAGTCATCATAGTAACGTGTCATGACCAATTAGGACAACATCATGCTTGTTTGAATCGCGCTTAACTCAGCCCAAGTGAAATTCTCAACTTCACTGCTGCAGACAACCGGTAGTTGAAAGTTACGGATCACTGGTATAGATTTCTGCGTATCTTGACAAAGGCGCAAGCATGTAAGCACGCAATCTCCTGTGCGTGTACGCGTGTGCTCATCTGTGGTTCCCCCTTGAGGTCTGGGCCAGAATTCACAGTAGCCCACTTTGTAATCGAAGCTTGTGAGTAGGGCATATATAAACATAGGTGATCGAATACACCCACCGAAATGTCCTTTCAGTCTATGTGATGATATACTGTTGCCCCGTTTTTAGTGAGAACACCCAGCAAACTAGAGACAAATTTTCCGGTTGATTGTGTAACCAAACTATCTAGTGGGATGGGCTTGTTGATTGAAACTCAAAGTAGGCCTTAGTAGCGGGGAGAATAGGCTTGGGTTGATTAAACTGCGGCATTGCGCCCAGCCCGCAACGAATATAATAGACAAGCCCTATCGAGTCAAACAAAGCCGCTTCCAGTGGGTTTGGGCGGAGTCTGGGCGTTTATCTCCAGGATCCCCTCGCTCTTGCCACCGATACTTACAGTATATTTGAGAATGGTAGCCTGTAGATCACTGTCAATCAACTAATCGAAAAAGACCTCTGTTTCGAGACAATGGTGATGTCACGGCTTGTTACTATTCTTTTCTGGGGTAGGAATAAGTAGTGTCAGCATCCAAATAGGCTCATTCTAACCATTGTGTTTCGTGGGCCGACCGCGTTTAAATACGTGCCTCATTCTGATCTGATCACGATTACGCTTTATTGTTGCCTGAAGGACTGTGCGACAAGGCTAAAGGGTGATGGGAAAACGCTTAAGAACGATTGGAAAACTGGCGGATTTCAGTATTCATTAAATGTCTCGACTAACCTTAACCTACGTGTGATTCGCTGTTGCGTTACTATGACATGTCAAAAAGATTGATTTAGATCCGTTCATCTGTAGGTGTCAAGTGGTTCTTTTAGCCTTACACTTTGTCTTCACTCCAACCGTTCTCAACCGGAGTTTGCCCATCTCAGTAGTTTTAACGTAAGTCATGCTGATTGTAAACTGAGTTCATGGGATCATTCATTAAACCGTGTATCTTATCACCAGACTTGTAGCACTTGGCATCTCAACTTCGCTTCACATGCTCACTCACATTTTCATGATAATTTTTATTCCATTTAGCCATGGCCTTGGCGATTGATGTCAGTCATCTTTTCGTGCGACATTCCGATCAAGCTTCGAGGCACCAGGGCGTTGGAAACGTATTTGCAGTGTACTCAAGTCAGCCTGCACGGTCCATTACCTCGGGGAATGCACCCGAAAAGTCCTTAGGATTCGATTCCGCTGAAGCGCTTGGACTGCTCGACCCAGATCCGACAGAACCAGCAGCTTCAGCGTGTTACAGACAAGCAATGGACTTGGCCAATGTGATGATTACCCAGTTGGCATCGGCCAAAGTTGTATAAATTTGTACAATACAATATTTTTATGTATTTTGTCTTGTCTTCTCACGCGTAGTAAATGGCAAGACAGTTTTGATTGCAACCTTCTGGAACCTGATAGGTTCAGTTTCACGTAAAACTGAAATCCGAGACAGCTATTTGTTCCACTGGATGGTGTTCTTCGACATTTTTTCTCCCTATTATTCAATGCAAGTATCGGACGCGTGCGACAAGACTCTCATTTCGGAAGTATTCAGTTCACTATCCACTGTCATACTTGTATGTCGATAGCTATATGAGTGAAGAGCATTTATGGTGAACCTTATCTCCCACTGCAATACTCTCAGTTCTCTGCTATCACCGTTTGAATCGACGCGTAACCTTGAATGTCACAATACAATTTTCAGGGGAGCTGAACCGGCCATTCAAAAGGCTCCCTCAAAATTTAGATTAGGGAGAGTCCAGCGGTGGTGGGGTATTGGAACGCGTCTTCCGAGGTGATTATTTTGTGGCGTTATGACTCAATCATCTCTGTCCAAAACACGTAGACCTGTTTCTCTGACGTAGTCGAGATCTGAAACTTTCCTTCACTACCCATCGCTTTTTCGAGCCTCCTTTTTCTGTTTGAAGCCTCGTACTTACATCCTTCCTGCGTGTTCCGCGTAACTTTTTGTTTGGTTGACCAGTCGTCCACACTGCATTTCCAGAAGTAAAGTATATTCCGCATTTAACTCAGTTAGTTGTGCGTAGTGTTGTGGGATAATTGGTATTGGTTGACGAGAATTGACCATCTTTCAGACTTCATCTTCACACACAATGTTCAGTTCTTCCAGTCAACCATAGACCCGGCAACACTAGACTCGAGTTTCACTCTTGTTAGGGCTTGTCAGTATTGTGTATAGTTGACTGGAAAATCTGAGGAATGTGCGTGAACATGAAGCCCGAGGGATCGTCAGTCCTAATCAATCCGTAAAGTATGTCTTTACCCATTTTCCCTAATAATGTCGCGTCACTTACCAGTGTTGTTTATTTATTACGAACATTTCTGCTATCTGTAAATTGGTATATATAAATGTCTCATTTACAACAGGTCTTCAGAATTCTCACAAGTACACAGGAAAATTAGTGAAGCAGTCAAACGATGGATGCGCATTTCCCTTAGTTACCATTATGAACACAATAATTCCCTTAAAGATGTCTTGTTCACCAGTGATCGTAATGCCTGTTCCAAAGACCTTATTCTAAACCGTTCTTGCGAAACGTTTTCGTCCATCCCTTTTGACGTCTACATTTCTAGAGTTGGCCAAGAAAGCCATCCATCCTTTGTCACCACTTTCCATAATCCTCTTCTGTTCGCGTATAAAACCAACAAATCCTCTTGGATGCTGTGTCTACTCTGGTCTATTTTATAAGCAAGTCATTGAACAGCTCCGGCAAATATGTTCGTTGCGTTTTTCTCGATTACTCGTCTGCTTTTGATTGTGTCCCGGTCATCTGTTCTTTTTAAGCTTGAATCTTTTGGCACCCCGAAACAGCTGCTTTCGTGGCTGTCTGATTATTCCACTGAAAGAACCCAGTGAACAAAGCTGGGCAGGAATACCTCAAGTCCTCTAGTCAATAATTCTGGTGTGCTTCAAGGTGTTATCCTCTTTCCGCATCTTTTCTCTGTTTTCATTAGTGATCGTTCAGTTTCATATCCGAAGGTATGCTGACGATGTCGTTTTATGTCAGACCATTTCTTCTTCGGAATTTTCCTCCACTGAAAGTCTGTCCCGATCTGAACAGTTTTCAAACCAGTCTAACCTTAATATTAACACATCCAAGTGTTTGGAGTGCATTTTTAGTTCTTCCCGCCCTACATTCCCGTCGGACTCTGTAACCCTTAATTGTAACCTTTTTTCTAGAGTGATCTCAGCCAAATATCTGGGTGTTACTATCGCTAATAATCTTCAGTGGTCGACATACATTCATAGCCGTATGGGAAAATTTCGGTGCCTCTCCTTTCAGCTCCAAAAGCTCAAACAATTTCGCACTTCCAACAGGTTTTGTTCTCTTATGTTAAACAATGCGTTCTCCCTATTTTACTTTACTGCTCCCTTGTAATATTTCCCGGCCTATCGAAACAAGCCTTTCAAACCATCGTGGATTGATCACAATGAGCAGTGTGGCTTTAATTTCTACCGAGTCAATAATCACAGAACTTATTAATAGCCATATGAAGGCGTGTGAGATCTTTGCCAATAAGATTCTAAACAACACGTCCCATTCTTTGCATCTTGACTTAGCTTCTTGTCACACACTCGATCACTCGTTCCTCTTATCGGTACCTACCCTATGGAATAAATGTTTATAAAATATCCCTGATATCATATCAGGCTCGAATCTTGACCAATATGCAGCGCGTAAGAAATAAATTAAATTTATCTTCAATAAATCAAACATCGGAGACATTTTTTCACACAGAACAATATTGGATCTACCTATACTTCTATATTTTCTCCGGTACTTCGGCCAGTGTACAATTTTTAACTGAAATGTAAGTAAATCTGAGCATTGAAAAGTTATACAAATACCAATACGATACGTGGACTCTGCTTGTGAGTAGAAACAATAAGCTCTTGTCTGTGTATGTCCGTTCACTAGGATTTACAAGTCCAATGTGGTTGTTTTACGTGAGAAGATTAAAACATTTGGTAACATCTCGCAACATGTATTTTTTCAGCCTTCACGCGAACAGAACTAAATCAGAAACGGCGCTTCGTATCCAAGTGGCGCCTCATTTACAACTGACTGGAAAATCTTAGAGATATTATGCGAGACCAGATACGAGTCACGACGATGGTCGGGGCCTGATGGTCAAATGTTTCGTTTATATGTCAACTGGTCTCTAGTGGATCTACGGTAGCGAAAGTCATGCTGGTGGTTGGGAAGAAGTTCACCGTATTTTAGGCTACGGCGAAGCTGTTTTTTATTATCATTAGTTCCATGACCCCGAATGGACCGAAACACAAGCAGTAGAACCACACGCTTCGGTTCAGGAAGGAAACAGTCCTTCAGAAGCAGTAATATGCGCCTTGGGAAAAAATGCGGAAATTCGCAAGCTCTGAAGAATTTGCCCTTTGAGCACAATCGATGGCATTCCGCGGACGTTGTAGCTTCGGTACATATAGGTAGCTGGGCGCAGCACCAAGTGGCAGACAGTTCTGTTGTCGCCCAGCTCACTAAGACGCTCAATCTATTGAGGCCTTATGTGGTTTACCATTCCAAGTCTCAGGATTGGGTTGCCGGTCTTCTCTCACACCACGAATGAACAATACAACTCACAGAAATCACAGAATGCGCACTATACCTACGAAATCACAACA